AATTATGTAATATTTAATCCTTTGTATTGAAATACAATCGAGTTCATCCTAACAGTCAGTTTCATCTCAGGCTTGTTGCTTGCTTGCCTCACATCAACAGTGCAGGCAATTTTAATATCTGGTCCGTTCAACCACTTCAAGTCATATTGCCGCACAACTGCTTCTCAATGTTAAACTCACTCAGCAGGTTGGCTTAATAGTTCTTTTCCTTGCTGTTACATTTGTTTAACACATGAGAAGTGCCACTCACTTTCGGAATGTTTCTGGCGGTGAATGCTAGTGGCATACAAGGAAAAAATATATATTTGGCACAGTGAAAGGCAAATGCACAAGTATTAACTATATAAAGTAGCATTTCTCTAGTTCCTGCATGTATGAAAGAGCTTGCAAGCCAAACTGGATTGACCATGGGTCAGCAGCTGCGAAAGTTCTTGGGCCATGTTTGTCCCACTGAATCGTATCAGCTAATTGCCAACCAAAAAGATGCAAAGAGACTAGACTCTGTGGACCAAACTATATAGAAAGGAAGCTTATGTAGACCAAGTTACTTTGCTAGCATAGCTCCCGCTGAAGGACAATCTCCTAGCATCCGTTCCTTTGCTGCTGTTGCAATTTCTTGTCATTTAAATTTCTTACCTCTCTTGACCTTTCTGTAAATAACAGCTAAACGAGGCAGGGAAAAAGGATGCAAATCGACACACTCTTGCCAAATCCCGCCAGTATTGTGCTGTGTTTTCCCTCGAAACGAAACGTAATTACATGGTTTAAAAGAAAAAGTCCCGGGCTCTTCTAGCTTTTCAAGTAAATGCAAGTGCTCCAAGGGCTTAAAAGCTGTGCTTTGGTGCCCCCCAAAGGAACAGTTTCTTACTACAGCAGTCATCTCAGAGAAAGGAAAGCAGAGCAACAAAAAAGCAAAACCAGTATTCCCAAGGGTAATACATTGATGCGACAAATTGTTTATTTACAAGTAAAAAAAGAAAAAGCAAGAGAGTGGTAGCTATGAGAAGCCATAGAAACAGTAATAAGCTTGAGTGATTCTAATGATGATGAGTTTAGCAGAGATAAATAATGTGCATTTACTTATTTATTTCTATATCCCCAGTCTAATAGCTGAAGATGTCGGGGCAGTTTACAACAGTAAGCAAATCAGGAGCATTCTATCATATATAGGAAAGGCTCTCCCCCTGGATAGGGGTGATGGGAACTGTAATCCAACACAACTGGAGGGTGCCATGTGGGAAAAGGCTGCCACAGGCTGCCAAGCAGGCAAGGGGACAGGTTAGCAAGGGACAAAATCCCACTTGTTCAGGGCTGAACAAGCTCAAGAACATTTGCCTTGGAAATGGGCAGAACCCTTGGGCAGCCATCTGAGTGGGATGGTGTAACGTGGCATCCTGTACCAGCAGGGGGTTGGCCTCAATGGCCTTCATGGCCCCTTCCAGCAATACTTTTCTATGAGTCTATGATTCATTTGCACACCAATGGTTGAACTCCAGAGAAGCATTTGCAGGCTGCATCCAGTGGTGAACTAAGCCAAAGACACAAGGGGAGAGCCAAATCCCCCTTTATCTTTTAGCTTAACTGTCTGTAATATAAGGCTCTGCATCCATGTTCTTCCTTCATGTCTAGGAGCCCACCTGGTGTCCCTTCCCAAGGTGGGGAGAAGAGGGTCTTGTTCATGCCTCAGACTGAGTTTTAGAGCCCTGATGGGGCTTCCATGGGCCCATCACAGCCCCCATGACACACCCTCCATCTCCCATCTCAGAGCACCAAGCCCCAGAGAGCTTTGCAGTGTAAACATGTCCCCTTTGCTGTCCACGCTGCTCTAAAGTTCAGGGTGATCCAGAAATTTCCTGCTGAAAACTTCCCAGACCTTCTGCTGAGCGCCTGAGGGGCTTATAAAAGGCCAGGACATCCCAGAATTGGAAGACAAATGTCAGTGCCTGGAGTCATTTGGCTGCTTATTGTCAGAAACAGACTACTGAATCCAAAACCAATCTTTATAGAGAAAAAGGCTTGCCTTCGTTTTCCTGCTAGGGAGGCCACTTATGCATTGTCAAAAAAGAGAGACCAGTTTGCATAAAAATTGCTAATGTATCTATAAGTCATCTATCTGCAAATTTAGAAGTGATGATTCTAATAGAAAAATATTTCTCACCATAGTGGACATAACTGCAACCAGTGACCTGCATGCCAGCTCAGTCTAGCATTAATTGCAGCTGCACCGTTTCCACGCCTGTTCTCTCTCCCCTCTGATGCTTCTTTAAATCATACTTAAGGATGGAGAGCACTTCAAATAGACGATACCTTCAAATAAATGACTATCCTCTGAAAATTGGGACATGCAGCCTTTCCGTAATCCTGCCCTGAGAGGATACATCTGTACTCCAGCCTTAACTACTTTCCTCTTAGAACAACACAATGTTTTATTGTTGGAAATATGTAGAATGTGTCATTTAAAAGTTGAAAGTGAACTCGCTTCCTCTAGACTGCAGCCAAGCCAAGAACAAAAGGCAGGATTACTGCCCTCACTGAAAGGTTATCATCCATTCGTTCTGTTTAATCCCGCCCCTGCTCCACAAAAATGACTTTTCATGTGTACCCGTAAAGCTTTGTTCATATGCACAAAGCCCGACCTGAAAATGAACACTGAAGCTGCAAGGCAGGCCAATGAAAGCCAGAGAATGTATGTTTAATGGGCCATTGTTCAGCCATATGTCTGCTGATGTGAAGACAAATGCTTGGTATTAAATAACACTTAAAATCATGCAGGGGAGCTGCAGTGCAGGCTGAATGGGACACAGCTGTGCTCCGTTTTAAGAGTGGCTCAGACAGTCCATGCCCCAATCTGTGGGGTGGGGTGGTATGGGGGGGGGGGACCTGGGTCTTGCAATTCTTCCCTCTCCTTTTCTAGTCATGGCTTTGTGCCTCTGAAACAGCAATGCCAGATGACGACGATGTGAAAGACAAAGAGAAGGCAGCTTGCTTGGGAGATTCCCAGAAGTATTTGGCTGGCCATTACTGGGAATAAAACGGGGCAATTTGATCTGGTCCAGCAAGGAGCATCTTAACACTTCCTCTCCTTGTCCCAATGCGAATGAGTATTTTTTAGTTTCTCATTCATTCACAGCTGTATTTGCATCTACCTCATTAGGGTCAAGGCCTTCTGGGGGCACCACTAAGATGGTGGCAGCTCAATAATATCATGTCTGTTCCTTCTCCCCTACCTTCAGGACCAAAAAGCCTGGTGCTACATTCTAGGGCTAAAATGGTTACAGGCGTTCACAGCCTATATAATTGCATTTACAGACAGGTCTTCTAAAGCAGCTCACAACACTGTAGATTGGGATAGCCTGAGAGAAAAGCCCTTCTCATGTGTTACTTCTTCCCTGCAATCGGTGCTGCTATGGAGCTATCAGAGCACGCCTATGAATGCTAATCCCAGACCACCAGAGGGGACAGACAGTTCTTGTTTCACAATTTCCCAAAGGACTGGAAGTCAGGATGGAAAAGACAGTGTTCACCTGTTTGTGAGAGCATTTACAACATGGATGAGGGAAACTCCTGATGAAAGTATAGTATGAAATACTATACTTAACCAATTATAGTTAAAGGCTGCTCCACTTTCTCCTGAAAAAGAGTATTTGCCCACAACGGGACTTGGCCTAGGAGGAAGACACTCACATAGAAGAGAGGAAAATGAAGTCAATTCTGGGCTGCAGGTGGGAGAGCATTCCTGCTAATGGCCTGATTTAAATGGTGGTGTTGGGGTGGGGGGTCTTGCCAACTTCAGTGACTTAATCCTGTTGTGCATTTATTAATTTGCTCAATCCCCCCCCCCGCAAAATCAACTTTTTTTTACTAAAACAAGAAAACTTTACAGTAGAGATAATTTATGCCACCCAATACCTTTATATTTGCCATAAGAGATAGGTGGAAGGTTCCTCAGTGGACCCCCGAAATGTCTAGTTTTAGGTACAATATAGGAACTCTTGATATCTATGCTAGAATACATGCCTTTACTGATGAGTCTGAGCATGCACTTCCACTTTGTAAATGTAACACAGTGGGACTGTTTTGGTTTTTTTTAATGTATACCACCTAACATGATCAGTTCAGCCCCATATATACAATTGGATGGAGGAAAAGCTAGTGTGAACATGGTTTTATACATCAGGGATGGGCAAACCAAATGCACTCCAGATGTTCCGGCCTTCAATTCCCACAATCGGTTTGGGCTGGCTAGGGTTGTTGGGTGGAAACATTCATTCAACATATTTTCCATAGGTTCTGCAGAAGCCTACATTTCAATTTACATTACTGATCTTTATAGATCAGACAACACTGTAGGATAAGGAAAAGGCTATCTATAACTAACCATTACAAATCCGTATTTTTTAGCCTTATATAGACTACTTGAGTCTAGGGAAGTCATAAGGATTGATCTGCTGGTATACCTTCCGATTCACATTGCTAACTTGTGTGTGGGGGAAGGCATATACACATATAGCTTCTACGCATGGATACCCATCTCCATGATCCATTTTCTTCAGCAGCTATGATTGCAGAAGTTTTGGCTGCCAACTGTCAACAACAACCTTCACCACTGGCAGTGCCAGCTAGGGATGGCTATTGTAGGGCAAAACATCTGGAGGGCACAGCACTTATTGGCCATAGTGAGCACAGTCAGGGATGATAACTGTAGGCCAAAATATTCAGTGGGTCACAAGATGCCCACCCCTGCTTTATGCTGCTTGTGTGTTAGCACCCCACTCTCTCTCCTCCCTCCAAAAATATCACAATTTCCTGAAAAGGCCAAGATTTGGCCCAAGAGCAAATCCTTACCCCCAAAGATTTATAAACAAATTAGCATCTATAAGCAATGATAGAACAATCATTAAGCAATGGTAAAAAAGACAACTTTTCAGATCCAGTGCACAGAAATCAAACTAAGCAAATAGGTACTCCTTTGTGAGTAAAATAAAATAACACAAAAGCCCTTACAATTAGATGTTACTTTTAATAGGAAGGGGGGATGTGCATAATCTTTAGGAATCCAATAACTTGATTGTTCATCTATTTTCCCATTTTCTGAACATCTCTTCAAGAGCAAAATATTTTCACAATGCTTTTAAACAGAGGAGAAGGCAAGTTACTGGAACATTACAGTCCTTTTTAAAGCAATACAAATGACAATAGCTTTTAGAGTCCCAGAGGCTGAAACTATAAGATTACAAGCATTTAAGACACCTAGTTTTGAAATACTTGCAGCTGTATTTATCAGATCTGTCTCTCTTTAACAAAATATAGGTGGGATGGAATCTGATGTCTTCATAAATACTTTCACTAGGATGGAGAGTTTACATTTTCTTCATTGGCAATAAAAAGTGCTCGGTTCACAAAAAGGGATACGTCAAAATTAAAACATGCAGTGGTGGTGGTTGTCTTTAAGAACGCTTCACTGTATTCCAACACTGAAGTAAGCAGTATTTAGGTTATCTTGTATTATTTGCCGAAAAGGAAAGTAATTTTGCCTGTGTGTCTGTAGCCTCTCCATTCAGTATGAAAGGAAGAAAGGGGTAGGGACAGGAAAAGATCTCTAAGCAGCAAAAAAAAAACCCACCACCTACATTTTTGGCATGTTTTATAGTTACTCAAATATATTTTCTCTTATACGTATGAAGCCATTATCCAGTGTTATCATGAAATACAGACTGTCCATTCTAGGTAGCCATTGCTATCTCCAAGATCAATGTTAATTAAAAAGAAACAAAAGCAGGGCACCACACTAATTTTGGGATCTAGTACACTAAAAGAGTGAAAACCTGGGGTAGGGGGGCATGAACTTACAGTTTATAGAAGGAACTAAATATCTGCAAAAAAGCTGATTTTTGGTTGTATAGTATGTTACACTTTGATCTGCTGCATCTGCCAATTTAGAACAGATGTGCTTGTCTTTCCTTGTATCCTTTCTATATTTTTCTCTCCCTCCCCTCCCTCCCCCCAAAACCTTACACCGTATCATGGATATGAGCCCAAGTATCCCAGACAATCCAGTGAATAGCTAGTGTAATGCACTGGTGTGATGTGTGAGATTTTTTTTAAAGTCTCTCCCTTTCAATCTTCATCAAAGTTCTGTTGTAGAAGGAAGTTGGCTGCCAAATTTTCATTCTTCTCACATGCAAAATACGCTTGTATGACAAGTCCTTCAGGAAATCCTAGTGCCTTTAACTATAAAAAGAAAAAGTCTATTAGAACTCATATTTGAAGCACCAACCTCTTTAACAGAATAAATTCTGGGTGCCAATGTTTTTAATGCTGGATTGCATTAACAGCTTTAGTATTTACCCTGACTTATTATACTGCTGCATCAGATATAAAACTGGCCATAATGGGATCCTGACACACAACAAAAATTAGACTGATGAAATGAGGATGATGCATACAGAAAGCCGGCTCTCTATTTTAAACTCTATGCAAAATGGCTATCTGCAATACTGATTAAAACTATTTGGAAAATTTAAGAAGTACACAGCCCAGGTTTCAACTGCACTTTTCCATTTTATAAAGCCTGATTATTGGGTAAATATTGAAGATGTTAGTCCAGCACCAAACCATCATGGTGGGCTGTCTCAACCTTGCCTAAGACCTCGGACATACAGTGAAACTGTGTATTAACTTCCTAAGCAAAGCCCCTGAGCAAAGCCCCATTAAGGATTTGAGTTCAGGGCAAATCCTTAATCATGATTCAGGTATTTGAACAGAAGTTCAAGTATGGTTAAGGAGGACAAATCCTATGCAATAAAACCTAAGAAATATTTGCTTTGAATAAACACTAAAAAAAGAAACCTTTTAATAAGGTATTTTGAACCAGTATGATTTGTTTCCCTTCATATGGCTTGAATATGCACCTGGGAGGGAAGATGCAGGACCAAGAGGGGGAAAACAATGTAGTGATAGTTACAGGGAGATATGGCTTTAAAAAGGACTGGCCAGGTAAGGGGAACACAGCATAAATAGTTAACAGCAGTATTATATTCTAATTGTCCCCATACCCACAGGTCTGGTGGTTCCATACCAGCCTGCTCTTGGGACCTGTGTTTTTAAATGCCAGATCAGTACAGAAAATGTCTTCCCTATAATAGTGAATAAAGTGGCCAATCTGGCATGTATAACTGAGACTTTACGTATGTAAACAGGGAGGGCTTAGTCTTTCCCAGCTAAACAAAATGCTGTACTTGGTTCAGTTTCAGGACATACTTGAGGGAAGGAGACATTTTTCAGATGGGCATAGGGATCATGCTCTGAAAGGGCAGGAGATGTATAGGCTGCGGGCCTATTAAGATGACCTGCCCCGAAGACGAACATTTCCAGGTAGTTTCCAGACAGCACTAGGGGAGTTTCCAGCTGATAGGTTTGGTGCTCCTGTCAAAAGCTGCTTACTCTTGTGGAACACAAAAATGACCCTGGAGTCTGACATGTTGGCTCCTGGCCACTGGTCATGCCCTCTCGCCTAATGTGGCCGAGTGGTCACTTTACCATTCCCTTCAGTACACTTACCTGCAGTTAGCTCAGCCTGCCCTCAGTGTTCTTTTCACACTGCACCAGCCATGCCCAATCTGGTTCCTTCCAAATGTGTTGGACTTCAACTCCTACCAACCCCAGCCAGGATGACCAATGGTCAGAAATGCTGTGAGTTGTAGGCCCAAATATCTCGAAGGCACCAGGCTGGGGAAGGCTACATTAGTTTTTGGGGGGTTTTTTTTAAACATTGCTTCTGCTATATTTCTGAGTTTCTCCGGTTTTTGATGCATGTTACTTTGGCTTCCCTAATTGTAAATGTCTTACTGGACCCAAAAGAATATGTGCTATTTACTAACTTTTCTCCAGTCATCAATTTTTAAAGAATTCTTTGTTTTTATAATCTTTGACCTCAAAATTTAACCACACTTCACACCTTAAACTTTTGTGTCTTTTTCTCCATGTTTATTTTTTGTGTGCAGCATCATTCCCATACACTTCCTAAAAGAATTTGATTATTTGTAAATGGTTGTGTCCATTTAGGTATAATTCCTCTTATGAAACTGAATGCTTATTGGTTCTTTTTGGCAATTTCCATTTGCTTGGACAGGCTCATGTGGCCACTGAATCCTTGCCTTTTGACATTACAAACTACAAAGTAGGGAACAGTCAGCTGGGCCAGGCAAGTGATTAATGCCCCCTTGCAAAGTGGGAGTAGCTATATGCTGTCTGAAGGAAGCAGTGGAGTGACCATTTCTGAAGAAATTCTCTAGACCCCCAAAAATCAAAACATAGGAAGTGGGTGATAGCCAACCAAATCCAAGCTCTTTTGGATGAGACTGATAATTATCTGGATATACCTCATTCAGAGAGTGTAGTTTACCCTTATGTTATGAAAAATACAGGGGTAACGTGGATCTATTGATATTTCTGGATCTTCTGGTGCTTTCTGAAACCATACTTCATGGTATCCTTCTAGAACAACTACCTAAACTTGGAGTAGGGTATACTGTATTGCAGTGGTTGTCAGCTCCAGAAGGTGATGTTTGGGAAATACTGCTTTGCACCATGAATTCTCCAGCATGAGACACCCCAGGGATTTATTTTCTCTTCCATGCTATTCAACATCTACATGAAGTTGTTAAATGGGTTCATCTAGTATTTTGGAGTAAGATGATGACAACACGTTCAGCAGGTAAGGTTGTAGAGATCCTAGACTGGTACTATGACAAGGGACTGGATGAAGGTTAGCAAACTGAAGGCCTGTTCAGTCAAGACTGAGATGCTGTTAGTGGGTGGTTCCTCTAACCAGATGGAGGATGCCCAACCGGTTCTGGATAGGAATGCACTCCCCTTGGTGGTTCCCCTGCAGCCATCTTTGTCACTTGAACCTCAGGTGGTCTCAGTGACACTGAGTGCCTTTTACCTGCTTCAGCTTGTGGCTTAGTGGGGCTGATTAGCCAGACTAATCAGTGGGATCTGAACACATAATACCAACTGGCCTATCTCTCTGTTTCTGAACCCAATTCAAGTTGTTAGGGCTGTCAACAACAGACAACTAACCTGTCAAGTCTTACATGACTGATGGAACATCTCTAGCAACCTGAATGCACAGGGCCACTAGGATCAACATCTGAGCAATTTCTTCAAAACTGTACTTTGGAGGGAGGCTCAAAGGGTAGCAACAAGGGAGAAGGCCTTCTCAGTGGTGGCCCCTCAATTAGGAAATGTTCTTCCCATTAAGACTCACCCACCTAGCACCAATTCTGTCATCTTCTCAGTGCCATGTTGATTGCCCTCTTCCTTCAGGCATTTAAGGATATTTAACGGCATGATGGGGCATTTCTGTCAGCTGTTTAACAGGTCTAATTGGCACTAGAATTGTTTTATCTGCTACTTTGTATATTTTGTTTACTAGAAAAAAATCATGTTTTTATTATGTTTGTAGTCCATGTCAATGAACTGTTATAAACTGCACACAGAGTGGCTACTGGACAGCATAAAAATAAAATAATCCACACCAGAATGTTGCGGGCGCACCTCTTCAGTGCACCTCTTCAGTGCTCCAGCCAGTCAGCCATGCCTTCCTCCAGGATACCTCATTCCATTCTCCCACCCCACAGCAGCCAGCCAGCACTATAGCCACTGAGCCCAGCCAGCCCTAATGTTCTCCAGGTTTTTGAGGGCCCTTGAGCAATACATTGAGTCAATCCAGTCAATACTGTTATTGCTCTTCACTCCTTTCACATAATTGCTGCCACTTGCTACTTTACAGGCAAAGAACAGGGATGCTGCAGCATCTGTTGCTGCTGCTCCTTGCCACCCTTTCTGGCCCAGATGGGTAAGAGGCAGGTTGGGCTGCCCTGCTCAGTCCTCACGGAGCTATCTGGGGAGGGAAGACTTTCCCTCACTTTCCCCCAATTTATCTGTACTCACTAGTTTTTCTCATTTAGAATCCTACTGATACCTTAGTCTTGTGCATGGATGGTGCCCATGTGGCCAGGTGAAGATCCATATGGCCCTGAACTTCAGAAACAACAGAAGGGAACTCTTTTTTACTGCAAAAATACTCAACTCACCCTTTCTATAGCTTCTTTTTCCTGAGGTGTTACTTGAATATAGTTCATGTGACGGCTTCCAGCTTCAGCTACTCCACCGCCACCGCCGCCACCACCCCCTTGACCGGATTCCTGAACAGGCTCATTCAACATCTGAATAAAATGTTCTTGATGTTGGCTTATTTGCTGTGGTGCATGGGAGGACAAAAGCAAACAATACACTGAAATAAAGCACATTCATTCCTACAATACCCTTAACAAATTACTAGTTCCTGCTATAAATACTAGTATACATAATCTAGATTTGGAAAAAGAGAGATCACTAAGAATGCTTTATAGTGTTCACTCTCCCTACCTTACTGGCTTGCCTTTCTCCCACTATGTAAAAGCAGCCCAAAATTACAGAAGACAACCCAGGATGCTTTAAAAGTCACCTGCAGTAACTGAGGGTTTTCCCGCCCTATTTGCTGTAGCAACGCAGGAAGAAGAGATGGATTCTGTTGAATAATTTGTCTCATCTGCTGGAACTGAGGCTGGTTTCGTAAAAATTCAAGAGGATGTCCTGAAAGGAAAGAAGACTTTTTTTTAAAAAAATAGGCATAATTAAATCTAGTAAATATTTGGAAAAGAAAATATGGCAGTTGAAAAATGCCTGGGGCAGGAAAGGGGAGCAATAAATTTAAGCAATGCCTTTAATCTAAATGCGATAACATGTTCTTATCTCACAAGTACTAATGAGAGACAGTTCCTCTGATGGCTAGAGTATCAGATTGAGACTTGGGAGATCTGGGTTCTACAGTCTACGATGTTCACTGGTGACTTGGTGACAGTCACTCACTTTCAGCCTAACCTATCTCACAGGGCTCTTGTTGAGGATAAAATTGAGTGGTGAAAAATATTAGGCCACCTTGGGTTCCTTGCAAAAGGAAGAAAGGCAAAGTACAAATGCAATGTAGCAATGATGATGAATCCCCTCCCTCAAAATTGAAGTAATTATTTCAGAGAGGAAATTGTTCTTTAACTTCTTTAAAAGGCAAATTATTACATGCTCATAAAAATACTAGGCTTATTGCCTATCAACATAGTACAAAATGCAACTTACCCTAAGCTTCAGAACTTGCATGTTTCATTTTGACTCAAAATATAATATGCATATTTTAAGATATTAATACATATATGTACTTTAGAGTGGTTGAAATAGACCCATGTGATCAAACTTATGTCAAAGGGTTTTACTTTCAGAAGTCTCAGACATTTTTCAACTGTCCTTCTGCTCCATTAACGTCTCCTGTAATTTAGGTAGTTGTAGTATTTCCAGTCAAATACTTTGGCCACCTAATGAGAAGGAAGGACTCCCTGGAGAAGAGCCTAATGCTGGGAGCAATTTAAGGCTAAAATAGAAGGGGATGGCAGAGGATGAGGTGGCTAGATGGAGTCACTGAAGTAGTTGGTATGAGCTTAGGTGGACTCTGGGGGATGGTGGAGGACAGGAAGGCCTGGAGGAGTGTTGTCCATGGGTTTGCAAAGAGTCGAATGCGACTTCGCAACTAGCAACAAAGTATTTCCAGTCTTCTTGGTTGAAATATAGTAAGCTGTCTTTAACAAGATAGACTGAAAATGATCTAGTCACAAGATCACAAGCCCAAGTAATACACAGCATGCACAGCTACAGGAGTAGCAATTAGTGAGGGAATTAAATCATGTTTCCTGTGAGGACATCTCATTTTCAAGAGCGAACTACACCAGTCAATCACTTCTACAGTAAAAAATGTGCCTATTCAAAAGTACTGCTCGACTTCCCAGTTACATGCCAGAATCATTTTTTTATGAACAAAAAGTGATTTAAAGAATCTGCCTGCCTAGAATCCGCTGTGTGATAGAACAGACTGTTGTAGACTATCAACTGGAAGCCTAGACCAGCTTCTCCCTTATTATTCAGGATTGCTGCAGGATTCTCTATAAAAGTAATTACCAAAAACAACTTGTTTCCCTGCATAATAGTACTATGGAAAATTACTATGGGAAAGAAAAGCAAGAAATATGAAGATCTGAGTTGCAAAACCACATAATCTGAGGGATCAGATATTGCGTCTACGGTTCTACAGGCACCATTTGAAATATGACTACCTTACCTCCTGTAGAGCTAGTAGTAGTTGTGGTCGTAGTCGTAGTTGTTGCTGCTGCTGCTGCTACTGCTGAAGATGGGGAAGCACCAGTGCTGGCTGCTTGAGGGGGATCAGCCATACCTTGATTTTCCCTATCTCCAGGTATACCCTAAAATGAGTACCATCACATTGAAAGAATTAAGTTTAGGAATTCAAAGTGCTGCTGGGAAATAAAACAGGGTTGGATTCAATGGTGTCACTCCATGAACAGGATGGATAGCACAGTCGGAATGGAATTACCTTCCCCTCTATGCTCCCCCAACATCCATTCCAGGTGGGGGTCCCTCCAGAGCAGATTTGAGAGGTATGCAACAAAACATGAGACTTGGGGGTTGCACATGACTGTTTCAACAACATGTGAGGCTAATTTTCACATGACTTAGCCATACCAACAATGAAAAAAGCACTTAAACCAAAGCCAAAATCATGAACTAGAAACACAAAGTGCAATCTATGCTTCATCAAAGGAATTTAAAGAAACAACAGTAAACAGGCAGGTGCCATTGTATTGTCAAAAGTTAAAAATTATGTGGTATACAAAACTACACAGCCAAATTGATGCAGCAACACGTGACATCTTATCATTGTTAATGAATCTGAAGACTTCAGAGACCTGGGATAGCAGGCTCTCAAGCTTGTAAAGAGTACACAAGGCACAAGCTGATTAGTGGATGTGATTTCTGCAACAGAGGCAGATATTTATGTTTACGGATTGTACTGCAAGTCACCTAGGGATGGAAAACCCTGAAAGATGACAAACCATACCAAAAAATACCCATGTTTAGAAGCCATTTTCTTACTGGAAGAATCAGTGCCTCAATTTTATCTCTTCTATGAAAACCACTGTTATTCCTATCTACAGTTCAGAGTAAGAAAACTGCTGTCTTACTTTTTAAAGTTTCTTCTTTATTTATGCAGAGGAAATGCATTCAGAGCCAGAAATGACATTTCTGGGGCTTGGTAGAAGCTACTATGCTCTTTTTTCCTTTTTCTTTTGTTTGCCTGGTATACCACAGTTGTGGGAATTCTGGAGGACAAACACCCTCCCAAACCTCCCAAAGTTACCGCCCCCCATAGTGTAGAGTACTAAGTTTAATGTAAAGAACAGGCTCCAGAAATAAACAGGCAATACTATTTCTCAACCAGTAATAACTTATTTCCAGGTCTTGACTCTAGAACAAAAGTGAAAATCCTTTGCACAAAAAGGATTTACATCAATTTGCTAACTGAGAATGAAATATATAGGCTCAATCTATGCCTGTTAAGTATTGAGGCACTTAGTTACATCTTCACATTGCTTTAACAAATTCAACAACTTCAGGTAACTCAGAACTAGTCTTCCAGGAATTAGAAGATTTTTAAAACAGATACAAGTGTAAATGCAGAAAATTGTTAAAAGTAATTTTCCTGGGAATGCTAAGAATATGCTTTTGATAGTATTATACCAAAGGCTCTTCTAAAGAGCATGCAAAAGTTATTTAAATATATGAGAACAGTGACAAGAGTTAACTGCACCAAAGTGGAAAACAGAAGACTGTCCAACTATCAAAGACTGGAAAAATAAGCTACTTGAGTATGCCAATGGTAAAATTAAGCAATTCTCTCTCTCTCTCTCTCTCTCTCTCTCTCTATATATATATATATATATATATATATATATATATATATGACCTGCCAAAGAAATTAATGAAAAATGGAAGCTTATTATAAGCAATTCAATTAATATTCAAGAAAACAAGACCTCATAAAAATATTATTAATGAGCTTCATCTTAATGTTAAAGCTTTTTTATAATTAGTTTGAAAAGACTGGACAATTAGTTGCTTTAAAGAACTATAAACTAGAACAATTTGTTTACTAGTCTAACGTAAGAATTGTTGACTTAATGATGGGCAGATAGAAATGTTTGCTTTTTATGAATTGTTTAGATTTCAAAATTGTATGCTCTACTTGTGTAATATTCCTTGGTATTCTTTTTCTTACATTTTTTTTCCTTTTCTGTAACTTACTTTTTATGAAATTACAATAAAAATGAAAATAATAAAAAAAACTAGTCTTTACATACAGTTAAGAAATTTTATTTAATTGTTCTATGTAATTAACACTATTCATATTATTTCCAATTCCAAGCAACCCAGCACACAACATATGTAGGAGACAACTATTCATGCACAATTTTCATCGAGACAGGTAAGCAGCGCAACGACTTGAGTGACTTTGTGAAAAGAATTGTACAATATCTAGCAGTAGAAACACATACTTCAGAAATGACCTCTAAGGAAATCATTTATCAAGGGGTTCTTATTCTTGAACAGCTTTCCTAATGTGGTCATTTCCAGGTGTACTAGGCTGCAACTCCCATTAGCTGCAGCCAGCACTGAAAATCCTCAGGAATGATGGAAGCTGTCATTCCAAACATCTGAATGGCACCACACTGGTGAAGGCCCATCTAAAACCCTACTATTCAGCAAATCAAGCTGAATATCAAGTCAACATGGAAATTATGAAAGCTGAAATAAATGCTGCCCCTTTTTACCACTTTATAAAAATAAGTTACTGAAACTTAGTTTTCAAATATTTTGCTGCCCATATGGCTACATTAAAAAAAAAAAAAAAGGAGCAGACGCTGATGCAATTCTCTGGATTTTGACTGAAATGTCATTTGTTAAAACACTCAAAAAGAAAGTAAGTTAACTGATGCTCAGTTAATCCTCACAAACTTTATAATTTCTCCTTGATGTTCATGGTTCTGCCACTTTCAAGGTTACTCAACAGAAGATAGAAAATTATGAAAATTAAGAGAACAAACTCACCATTAGAAGGTATTCCACTGCTCTGTCAGGATTGTTGAAGCTGGCTCTTAGTGCAGCAATTACTTGCTCTCGCTCATATCCCATTGACATGATCTCAGTCACCATATTTTCATAGGACTGACCTGTTACTACAAAGAACAGAGAAGCAACATTTGAAAAGACTCAGGGTAAGTATAGACAGGGGGCTGAGGTGAAGGAAAATGAATGTTGCATATTCTATCAAGAAAAGGAGGACACATCAGGCTGTATATTAAAAACTTTATATTATAGAAACCCAGATTCTTGTAAAATAATCATGTTGCCTTCTACCTCAGGTTGTTAAAAGTAGCTGCAGTGATCCATATATTAATTCAAAAACCTGTTTTACTCTCACCTTAATTAGTGTAATTTGAACATTACCCATAATCTATTTCAGACCTAAGTGTCTAATGTGCAAAATTGGATAATGAAGCAAGGCTGTCATTTTTTGTCACAATAGGGCAAACAATTTAATACAAAACCATATGCATGATCAATTGTAAATGTGGACTAGCTAACAGCTCTCAAGTACTGCAAGAAAATGAGGTTGCATTACAGAGCCACTATGAATTAATAAACAGTTAAACAGGATGAATGCTTCATCTTTACCTCTAACACATTTTTCAAATAAAACTCAACATATAATTGTTGAGTTTAAAAAAATGCTCATGAGGCTAAAATTTATGACATTGCTTTAAATTAACACACAGCTTTCCAGCAGCTCTCCCTATGATCTGCCCCATTCTCTTACTCCTGGATGTTTTTTAGAAAGCATACAGAGTACTGTGTGTCTTTGTGGATAACTTTCTGGGGGCCACCCACATGCTCTTCCTGTCCCCCAGTCTTGACACTTCTGTCCATTAGCATTATGTCTCCTTGCTGAACACTGAGAAAGGGTTTCATATATATAGAAATGCTGCAAGCTGCTGCTCAAAGAAAATGGCAATCTCCCCCTCCATCTGCAGTGGGACTCTGCAGCCATGTCTGTTTTCCCAATCAGCTAAAGAGAAGGAAGACAGGCAGGCAGAGGAAGTTCAAACTGTTCCTCCAGTTTCCCTCCCCTGTACTCAATTGGTGGTGGTGGCAAACAACTGAGCAGCAGGAAAAATGGCCTTGCAGAGAGTGGCTGGAGCTTGGCTTCCAAGAGGAAGATGGGTTGGACTGAGGAAAGTATATTGCAGACTGCAAATTCATTACTCCCCTTTTAAAATTTGACCAGTGCCCATAAGCGATTGGCAAAGCAAAGTTTAATCATCAGATTGGAGTTCTTCCTTGAACCAGTATCAGAATAAAACTTGGAACATATTATTCAGAATACAATTTTTATGTATCAAGGTTGCACAACTGAGATTTAGCATCCTGCTAAAAGAATGGACTGTGAAATGCCCAGAGTAAATTTGAGAACTGGGCATTGGTGTTTTCAGTTTAAGACACTCAGTCAAAGTAAAACATGTTAAAAGCCTGAGAAATTCAGAAATATAGCAGAAGGAACATTAAAAAAAAGAAAAACCAAAAAACTAATGCAGCCTTCCCCAGCCTGGTGCCCTCCAGATATTTGGGCCTACAACTCACAGCATTTCTGATCATTGGTCATCCTGGCTGGGGTTGGTAGGAGTTGAAGTCCAACACATTTGGAAGGAACCAGATTGGGCATGGCTGGTGTAGTGTGAAAAGAACACCGAAGGCAGGCTGAGTTAACTGAGGAGAGCCAATGTGGCGCAGTGGTTAAGACTGGGACTCAGATGATCTGAGTTCTAGACCATGCTCAGCCATGGAGCCAACTGGGTGACTTTGGGCCAGTCACAGACTCTCAGCCCAACCTACCTCACAGGGTTGTTGTTGTGAGGGTAAGATGGAGGAGGAGAATGATGTAAGCTGCCTTGAGCCCTTTATAGGAAAAAGGCAGGATATAAATTGAAAAATAAGCAAACAAACAGCAGGTAAGTATACTGAAGGGAATGGTAAAGTCACCACTTGGGCACATTAGGCCAGAGATCATGACCTGTGGCCAGGAGCTAGCATGTCAAACTGCAGGGTTATTTTTGTGTTCCACAAGAGTAAGCAGCTTTTGACAGGAACACCAGACCTATCAGCTGGAAACTCCCCTAGTGCTGTCTGGAAACTACCTGGAAATGTTAATCTTTGGGGCAGGTCATCTTAATAGGCCCACACCCTAGAAACATTACAAAGGGACTGATCCAACATCCTACACTTTCAGAGCATGCTCCCTATGCCCATCTGAAAAATGTTTCTCTCCCTCCCTCCACCCCTCAAGTACACCCTGAAGCTAAGTCAGAGAAGCTAAGCAGAGATGCAAGCGAGTCTGTTGTGCCAGTATGGACAGTTGTCTTAGATAAACCAAATCAACTGGCATATTAAAATGATCATTAAAAGAGGCATTTTGAAGTGACATATCAGCCACACACACTGTAGAATGAGAATAAACTCTTTTTCTTTTATTAAAAAACTACTCAAAGAATTCTCAAAAAAAAAACCCACTTACCAAGTGCACTTGTAGCATCCTCAAAGAGATTTGATCGTGAAGTATCACCTGTTGTACTGTAACAGAATGAAAACAGTTAACAGACACTACATTCAGAGTTATTGTTTTGTTGTTGTTATATTTATATCCTGCCTAATCCCAGTTATTGAGACTTGAAGTAATGTTAACTTTAGCCATCTCAAGTTTTGCTTGCAAAGCTTCTAAAATTGCTAGGCATTATTCTAAAAAATAATCGTAACAGACCTTGTGTTTTACCCTATTAAATCATGCTAACAGACAAATATTGTCCAATTATTCCTTTTTTCCCATTTTAGATTAATGCAGTAGAATACCCTGTCTAGCCATTATTAACAAAAATTAAAATGTCTACTGATACTTGCTCTCCAGTGAAAAAATTAATAAAACCAAAACACGTCTGACAGATACTGAAGACTAATATTTTTGCCTCATGATGGGAAAAAATGCATCAAAACATTAAATTATTTCAAAAACATTGTGAGCAACTGAAGGTGCATACTCCCAACAATTAATATGTAGAAAAAGTTTAAAGACAGCTAATATCTTCCATATCTACAGCCATTCCCAATTTGAACTAGGCTAGAATTTCTACAGTTTACTATTAAGAAAACACTTTCAGACCTCAGTAAAAGCAGTTTTATAATATAAACATATATTTGTACTATTAAAGAACTGGTTTTTAATTAGATAGAAAATGTTTATATACAGGGCACAGCAGATCAAAGAAACTGCAACAGTTCTGTTGCCCTTCAAGGAATCCCCAGTGCCAAATTTATTCTAAATTATGACAAGAATTAAGAATTCTCTAATAATCTGCTCATACCTGTCTGTGGATGTTGGGCTGGTGTCAGGTAGTGTCTCTACTGGCTTGTCTGCTGATTTCTCTTCTACAGGGGCACTTACAGATGGAGGCTCAGAAGCCACTGCAGCTGGTGTTGAAGTAGCTGGTGCAGGTGCTGACACTGGTGCAGAAGTAGGAGCTGGGACAGGTGCAGGTTTGGGGGCTGCAGCAGCTATTGTAGAAGAACTAACAGTAGTGGTGGTATCATTTGACTGCTGAGTTGTAGTAGGAGATGCAGCTGGGGCAGTTGCTGCTTTGGGCTGTAAAGCAGAATAAGTCTAGATTAATAAAATTCTCAAATGATGCTTTACTGATCCTTGTATTCTCAAATGATGCTCTAGTTATACACCCCTCTCAAGGCTTATCTGGAAGTTACTTTTACCACAAAGATGCTGCTTTAAATCAGTCCAAAGACTGCTGTGTTATATGCATCTTCTGCTCTGTGCATTTGTGATGGTTTTTCCATATGAGGTCTTCAAAGTTTACATTCACATAGCACAAGGAAATTACCTATTTATTATCAAAAATGTTCTACAGAGCAGTACCTAAGGAAAAAAGTGGGATATAAATCTAGTATAAATAAACTATGTGATGAGTACAACATGAAGTACAACTACTCACTTATCTGTGGTGCTACCAAACATCCCATGACATGAGACACTGCAAGTTTCTGTTCAGCAATGTTTCATGCACTTATTCTAACTAATTTGCTTAAACCAGCTCATATAAATGCTGCTGTGAATCTAATATCAGAGGAATAGCTTCTAAATTGAGTGGCTGAGTATCCTGGTTTCCTTGCAACTTATAAGACATCCTTGTTATGCAAAGATTAATGGCAGGAGACAAGTTTTGCTGAAATACAGCTTGCCCACAATTATCACCATTATCAAACTTGTACCACAATATGAAGCTGAAGAAAGGGCAGGTATATGCCAGAACACACTCCCAAGAATTATGGACCACCTCAGGGTATACGACCCAGAATACTTAATACCCCAGAGGCATACCTGGGAAGAACCGTGTAGGATACTAAGCAGGACAAGTCACTGTGAAAAGGGTTAGTATTATGAATATTCCCTGCATAGTTCTATACAACAGGCTTAACACCTACCAGTTAAAGCAAGTGTTTTCTATCTTTGTATCTCATTAGTTAACATCATCTAGCTGTACGAACAGCACATCATCTGTTTTATCAAAAACTCTGGATTATCGAATGGACACCGTTAATAGGGTCATCAAAATCTCACCTTGCATTCAGACCACAGCTATCTATATTGGCCTTGGGCAAGTCAAATTCACTGAGGAACATGCTGAATAATGAAAGACCAATCCTGATCAAATAGCAAGTTCAATGCACTTTATAGTTGGTGGAAAGTCATTGCTTTAACTCAGTCAGATCATTTTTCACTTTAGGACAGATTTTTTCAAGACACCTTACAAAAGCCTTAAAATCAGATTATATTTTCACCATGCAGCCTGTTGTAATATATAGTGAATATGCCCCAGAGATATGCAATTTTCACGTATATCAACTGACCACCTGCTCCAATTCCATCTGAAAAGTAGAAAAAAATCTTATCCATATGTGCAAGCCACTGGCCTGATTTACACAATCAACACAAACCCCATGTCTTGTTTGATCCACGGGGGTTGAAACATGTGCCAGCAGCCACTGTGAATACTCAAGCTGTTGCTTACTTTGATGTGCAAACCTGGCATAGAGTGGTCATTGCTGTGGTTAACAAAACACGCATAACGCAAAAACAGTCCATGGCTTGTGGGTGCTTCTTTACCAAAGAAACAACGCACCATCACCCAGTTTGAACACCACAGTAAACTATGATTGCCTGGTCTGACTTGATATTCACAATGCCCACCAGCCTGCACCACAATCCACCATGGTCTAAAAAGATATCATGGGCTGCAGCGATTGTACAAGTGAAAAAACATGCTCAACCATCATTCCAATAAAGTTGTCTATTATAATGCAAAACAAAAACTGTTTAAAGATTTTTAGATTCAAAGAGATTTTACATGATTGTGGGGCTAAAAAGGAGAAAATATAACTCTTGGGTTAAAAGTCACTGCTGGATATGTTACAACAAAAACATAATATGCATTTATTTTGATGTTATTGTAATGCTGACTATTCTATTAATGTTTTGACCAGGAAAACCCCAGGATAAAATTTATGAACAGTAACTTACTTTTGTTACCATAACCACTACAAAGTTCTTTTCATCAATTTTGTATTCTTTAAGAGCTGTATCATCATTAAGGATTTTACCTAAAAAACAAAACAGAACAAAAAAAAAAACATTTCTTATATTATTGGCTTCCCAATGATAAGCAGTGATAAGCAATGTGCTTACATGACTATTTTACAAGTGAAAAGAGTACTCATTAAAAAGCTTAGCACATCAGCTATAACTATCAAGAGACAGGTCATTTATGACTGCCAGGCAAGGGCACTGGTTCCATGTTCTTCACCCACTGGGTTATGAGGTGCTAAAAGAATAAATCGCATGCTGCAAGTTAAGTCAATATTTTCTAGTTATCTGTTTTCATTTGTATGGGTAAATAATTATCAGTTTTCCTCTAAGCATTTATTCTAAGCAACTTCAAACAGTGTGAAAATTGTCTACACTGCATCAACACTTTTGCTAAACTTTGTTTTTCCAGTAGGCCCATCCATGTGATGAGTAGTTTCTTTTCTACACAGGGAACTAATCAGCCATCCTAGCAAGTGGCCACCACATAAGCTAGGAATATGCTACCCAGTACATAAGCTACCCAATACATTTTGTTTTAAGGTGGGATATAAAAATGTTTCTCACCAAAACACTATCTCCCAAAGAGGCCAACAAATCTTGAAATACATTAAGGTTATCAGGTGGCTAGTATATACCATATACACCAGCATATAAGATGACCCCTGAAACTGATAATAGCAAAGCAAAAACTGGAGGTCGTCTTACACACCTGACATATGACAACCACCAGAAAAAGTCCAAAATATCAACCTATTATATACAAGTCACCTCATATGCTGCTATATATGGTAGAAGTTCATTATCTTACAGTCCCTCCCCACCAAAAGTAAAATTATCTGCATAAGAATCCACTTAATTTAGGAAAGATCATCCAAAATTAAATAATTAATAATTACATTATTATGATATAGTCCAATAGCATTATTTGACAACTATTCAGGAATATGCACAGGACCTTATTAGTTATTGTATACGCCAACTACGGATATTAGGACTGTCTACAGTGGACCTGTCTAACCTCTGAAGCTCTCAGCTAATTTTCCATAGAGAATTTTATTTTTCCACAGATTGTCCATTTTATAAGTTCATAGTGACAATACTTTCATATACAATATTAAGCAAGTTTGACAGTTTTATTTGTACTTAATGTTTTTCATGTGATCACCCCCAGCATCTCTTTATGTCTTTGATAAACAAATATGCCTCACTGTAAAATTCAACTAATTAGTAAAAGTGAAACTGAAGGCGCCCAAACAACTTAATGGAAGAAATGGAATTCTGAAATAGGTGGGTGGCTGTCAGCATATCCTGCAGCATTCCTTGGGTTGTTAAAAATCCATTTAATACAATCCATCAAACAAAACTCACCCACGCTTAAGACATTTACTTAGCTTGCAGGAAGATCTTGGCTTAAATGTCTTATGTTATTCATGTGCTGCTTGAAGAATTGATTAGAATATGTAGCATTTTCTCTCCAATAGCCTCCTCAAGATAACCTTTACATTTAAACACATTACCTGCATATATTAATTTTTGGCCAGCTACTGGAAAAGCATCTTTCCCCTTTTCTAATTCAATCTTCTCTTTCAATGCCTTTACCTATAAGAAACAGGTCAAGTTAGAACAAGTGTATAATTTAATTTGAAAGATTTATTTAAATGTATAACAGGACTACTGTGATAGCAAGTTTTTGGCTTCCTCTACTAAAAGCAGTATTTACGCACACATTAATGTAGTTCCCACAATAACTACAAACCACGATGGCTTGTTATAAGCGGTGGCTCCCAAGATTATGTGAGGGCTGGTAATCTCTCCCACAAGTCATACACCCAGATCTGGACAACACAATAAGCTGCAACTGTGTGATTATGCAAACTGCATGTGGTATGGTTTACTGCATGTCATTGTAACTTCTGATTGTGCCATCTAGCCCCTTGTTTTCCATGCTATGAACAAAACACTGCAAAATAATTACTTGCCCTTACATTTGCAAATTTATGGGCACTTAGACTTGGACCTTAAGACCTCAGACTAAATGGAGGTTTATGAAATGCCATTTTCCTCTTCCCACTCCCCAAGAAAAGCTGAGCTCCTCACATTCATTTCCCCTGGTGCCCATACCTACAGAGAACTATTTTAAAGCACTCTAGAAAAACAGGTTATACTCTGTGCCACCCCATCACAAGAATACATGAGATCTTTAACTTTAACCAAGGAAATGTGAAGGTAGCCTTCAATTGATTTATCTCTTCTGACTTCTTCATTAATCTGTGTTTTGTTGTTTTTTGTAATCCACACAACCATTTCTAAATATATTTTCTCTCAAAATTCACATTTTGAGTAAATAACTGGAACATGCAGAAAGGGCAAAATCAGATGAATAATTAATTTCCAATGCAGGAGATACAGATCAAGTCAGTTCATGAAATAATCTGGAAATGCCAAGAAAATAGTAGCAAATACCAGACAACAGCAGCAATAAAGATCCTGGAACTTCAATGTCATGCTCAAAGAACCCCAATGGGTTTTCAGTTGTATAGAAGGGTATAATTTGAGAACTTTTCCCTGTATTATCACTCATGCTATTTATTCAGGAGGCAAAACTACAGTATGTGATAAACAGATGCCAACTATTACTTTCAACTAGTTTGTTCCATCTTCATTTGTCTTAGTTCAAAATCATCTTCACAGTAATCTAACAGTATTGCTGCATATTCCATTTCTTAAAGTTAGAGTTCTTCTGACTATGGTTCATATCCAAAGTTGAATGGAACTTTATTTCAACTAGTACTGTATACAGTCCCATATTTTGAGTACTGAGCACTTAAAAGCACTCTTACTTTACTGCTTAACTTTAAGTTGCCTCTGAAAACATGTACGTGAAAAAACTGAAAAGCACACACAAATGAAACGAAGACTTGCAAATGAAAGCCTATAGAAGTGATCTGAATGGCATTTAACACCTATGACCCAGTATTTCAGTCTACAGTCTGAACAAAAATAAGATGTTGAAGAGTCATCTATAAGTATATTTCAAGCCCAGGAAAGAAAATTTTGAGAGTGAAGGTAGCATTCAATTTATAACTATAAGAAAAAAAATTTTTTTGCATGAAAATGGTTTATTGAAGAAGCCATGAAAACCAATGCTAAGCTCAACCAACCTGTAAAAACCAGCAATATGTATATCATATTTAAATAGTAACTAGGACTACTTTTGAAACAAACAGCTGCCAGGAAAATGCATATTATAACCTAGTGCAAAGTGTTTCCAAAATTCTACTTTGTATTTATGACAGCAGGCTTTATGCTCAAACCTGTACAAAGTTTCCTTAAGTTATGGCTTTGTGACAAGTGCATATTATCATTTGATAGCTAGTATCAGACCACCAAGCAAGACAGAACAGAACAATCACTGCCAGCTTCTTCATTCTCCCTGGCGATGACCCCAAATACATGTCAAACATTTGTTAGCAGTAAGACCGCCTTACACAGTGATTCTCTTACATATCCAACTATTAAACAATAACTAAAGTTCTGAAAAGTTATACTCCTATTCTAAGATGACCAAGCTTATGTTTCCCAGGGAAAATTCAATTGAGCATGCCTTTCCTAATATGTCCTTGTCAGGAAGTTGGAAAGGGACAGACTATTTTAGATGAGAAATTTTGATAGGCAAGATTTTTAAGGCTAGGTCAAAACAGCATTTTAAATGTATCTGGAAAACAACCAAGAGCCAGTGAAGGTGCAGTATTGAGGTTACAAAGGTAGAAGTGACAGTCAGTCAAGTTCAAATAAGAAGAGTCATACATTTTACCTGATAAGAGATGGAAACAACTACTCAAAGCCAGTGAGGAAACACAAAAGTCCACTTACAACACTCCACACAGGAGCACTCCAAAGCTATAGTCCTGGAGGCCAAACCCTAACAAGGATAGCTTTTTATGTCTTTTGTAAGTCACATGACTTGCAAAACTGCTAGCATTAGAGAAAATATTCTGTAAGTTTAATGACATTAGGAAACAGACAACATTTAAAGGGGAATGTTGTTGGAGCAGAAACTAGAACAGAAATTCACCCATAATTAGAAAAAGATTCTTTAATACCTATGCAAAAAAAGTCATGAAGAGACTGAAGTTTGGCCACATATTAAGAAACATATAGCCTGCTCAGAAAAACAACAGAAGCATAGTAACAAATTAATAAACGCAAAAGCACAGTAAGCCACTGCAGCAGCTGCAGTTTTGTTGTGGGCTTTTAGGAATGTTATATTGCTGATGCACATTTTCCTGTTTCCTGTTTTACCACTGCATCTTCAATATATGAATTTTAAGCAAAGCGGCTGTGGAAGGTCTCTGAAAGGCAGACTATAAATATCTTAAATAGCAAATCAAATGAGACCACTGTCCCATCTAGCCAGGTACTTTCAGTCAGCTTCAATGATCTTCCCAAGGCCATCTGGAAATCCCAGGGACTGAACCTAGAATCTTTTGTATGTCAAGTATGGCTGCTTCACATTTTCAGATAAATGATAAAAGTGTTCTTCAATTAAAATGTATTTTAACATAGATTCCCAACTTTATCACAAATCTCACATTAAACTGCCTGGTGCTGCTCTAAAAAAGCTAAGACATTCTGGGTGGTTTTTAAACATACAAATAGCCTGTTTAGGCAGGCTATAGCACAAAACATGTCCCAAACATTTTTAAATTAAATAGCAGTTCTTTTCATGAATGATTTCCTTAAAACATGTCAAAAATCATAAGCTGCTTTTTTGTTCTTAGATTTTTCTACACGTGATTCAGCTGCTCTATTTGTAGAACTACATGTTCCACTTGCCCAATATCCCCCTACCCCTCATGTACACAGTTTTCTCCATGAAGTAACCACCATTTCTGCTTTGCTTTCATAGTGCTTCCAAAACTAAAGAGCTCTGGAGTACTTTACAGTAAGGTTTTACCTAAGCACCCAAATGACAATTTTAAGTGGCACAAATAAGTGGGCAAGTGGCTATTTGTAAGACTTGTAAGACTTAAGTAAACAAATACTCAGACAAATTGGAATGCCCATCTTGCATTTATCCTCGCCATTAACAAAACCACTAAAAAGAGAAATGTTGACAGCATGGCTGATTATTCAAAGTTTAGAAACAACAGCTCAAATTATATTAAAACACCCATTTTTAATATATTTCAATGCTTCTCACTTTTGTTCATATGATTTTAACCCCCACCACATTGTTTAGTTGAAATCCTGGGAATGTCAAACACAGGATGTGCTAAGAACTGACCATTCAAGGCCCATAAACTTAATGAGAATTAGCTTATTGTTTACTTGTGTTTATTTCTCATCCTTAAAAGAACCCTATGACAGTTCCACCCTCCATGTTACCCTGAATGCTTTAGCTATAGGGTGGCACAAATTGAATAAATTAATAACCTCATATTAAAAATGGGAGCCTGTAGCTGAGATTAATGGCTTTTTTAAAGTCACTTATCAAGGTCATGAAAAGACCACCAGCTGATACATGGTCCAGGGCTTCCCTTGGCCTTAATCTGTACCTGGCAGGGAGTGTGAACTGCCTATAAAGGACACAGTGAAATGTTTATTTTGCAACAGGCTATGCTGAAATAGCAGTACTCTGTCCCTAAAAGCACAAGAATGTTTTTTGCATAAAAAGTTAAATTCCAAGTTTGGAACTTCTGCATTAACAATTCTATTATTTAGCACTGCAATTAAAACATGTACAGATTCCAGAAGGGGGGGGTGCATAACAAAATGTTACTTTGTATCCCTACCCACTACTTATACTTTTATTAAGGGCACCATCCAGCCTGGAAGAGGAGCCATGATGAGTACGAGAACCAGTATCTTTAAAACATTTTTATTTAAATCGAATTTACTGACGTGATTCACACATAACACTAACCCATTGTTTATTTAGCCCACAGGCTGCTGAATGCTGGGTTTTCATGATGTGCAAATCTAGCCATCCTAATACACCATGCTTTGTTAAACAATCCAGAATAAGAATTCTTAAGTTGTTATTGTAATGGAGATGGGGTGGAGAGCAGCAGCTCTGTATGCCAATACTGCAGCACTGCAAAAAACTTTGGGGTACAAAAAGGAAGGAGGAAATAAACCAGGGATTGAGAAAACAAACTACCAACCATACCCTGGGTAGGACAACAAACCATGGGCTAAATAATAAAGCTTGGGATAGCAGGATGTGATAGCCAGGTCATTGAGTTGAACTGTGTTTTTCTATGTAAAAGAATAAACTAGCAGGCAAACATGTAAACTCTAACACAATTATCCAGTTTGCATGATCACTGCAAACCAAAGTAGGGAGCAAAGATTGTGTAAATCAGGCCAGTGATTATTATATGTATAATATGCAATGAATATTTAGATTAATATTCCCAAACCAGGTGCGCTCCACATGTATCAGGCAATTCCCATTTTCCCCAAAAGCCACAGATTAAGTTTTTGATTCTCCAGTTCTGGAATTTTCCGGATTCTTATTCTTCAAGCAACTGATCTTTGCATCCTTGTTTCACCAAAAAGTCAAAACAAATCTGGTGGTTGAAAGTGAACTGGGGAAAATGATGGGAACCCTACCAATTTATCCTGGGGGAAAGTGGGTGTGGCTCCAGCCAAAAATTCTAGGCTGAGTTAGCAGAATCTTCCCAAATGAGGCACAGCCCCCATATACGTGATTTAGAGACACAAAGAAGAACTGGGAGTTTGTTTGATAATGCAGACATAAAAAAACTAGCTGCTCTCCATATCTTTTGGGTTACAACTTCCATCAGCCATATAGCCTATCTAGTTGTAGAGGACGATGGGAGTTATAGATCAAAATATCTGAAGGGTCACAAGTCTCCCACCTGAAATATTAAAACTATACTTAGTTGCAGACTATTATGTTTTATCATAGCAATCCCATACATATTTATGAATGGAAGTACTTAGAAAATGCACATAAATCTTCCACCTTCTGGCAATTAGGAAATGTACATGATAACAGCTCAAACCATTCCTGTTACACTGGCTGTGCACAATCAGTGCAATCAACTAAAATACAGTGCACAAAGACCCTTTGTTCCTACCTTCATGTAATCAAAGAAATCAAAATATTTCCCATTAACTATAGTTTCCTGTTTTGACCAAATCAAGAAACAACAGTTAATGGCTTCAGAAGATGCCATGATATCAAGTCATGGCCTGAAACTGATTTCTTATCCTGATTTGTATCAATGCCATTAAACATTATTTCCCAGTTCATCAGAACTGAAATACTACTGTTAATGGAAGAGTTCCTAATCTGGACTTTCAAACCAGCTCATGATGTCAGTAATCTTTCAGTTTTGTACACTGTTATTCCCATGATGCAAATGAAGATTTGAGGTTGGAAGTAGCTCACCTAAAGCTGCCTAGGGAATTCTGAAAATTGAAGTACATTATTCTTCACATTTCACAGAAGCTAACATTGATAGGTTTTCTGTCTCATGCTCAAATATCAACAGTGATTAAGATCTTACTGTTGTACCCACTAACTTGCTTAAAGCAAAAATAGGAAATAGTCCATTAATAAGATAAACTTTCATCGTCACAAATATACCATTACATTTTTATTCTGGCATTTCTCGGTTATAAAGCAGTATACAATTCTTCCACATCCTCACAACAATCCTGGGAGACAGATCATATTAAGAGATAGCAACTGGATAGCAAGTCACCAGTGAGCTTAATGATTTGATTGATATTTGAATGTCTGCATTCCCGGTGCTGGTCCAATATTCTAATCCAGCCTTCTGCAACCTGATACAGCCAGACAGCATGGACAATTGGCAGTAATACAAGGAGTTGTAGTCCAAAACATCAAGAAAGAACTGTTGAAGAAGGTTGCTATAACCACTACCCTACATGCTTTTCCAGAATATATAAGCCTTCTAATGATAAAAGTTATAGGAAGCATTCTCATACACAGAGAGAGAGAGAGAGAGAGAGAGAGAGAGAGAGAGAGAGATGGGAGTGTGAGCATACAAGCATATGCAGAATTTTGAAATTGTACAGAATCCTCTAAAGAGAGCACTGAAAATTATGGATAGAAAGCAGCCAGCTATGTCCTACATTAAAGCAGTATGGAACCTATAACCAAATAGTTGGGCACGCCTTTTCAGATATGGCATTATAAAGCAGATTTACCAGTTGTTCTACTGGTTGCGTTGTTTCCAAAACTTATTTTACCCCCATACTGCCATAAAATAGCCATTCCCATCCTGATAGCCTATTAAAGTTTTGGACAACAACCCCCATTATCCCTGACCATGTTGGGTGAAGCCATTGAGTTTTAATCTAAAACAACCGGAGCATACCAGGCTGAGTAAATGGCACAATATTATACCAAAAAAAAAAAAAAAGTTTTAAAATAGTTGAGACAAAATATGCTACCAAAACCGAACTCAGATACCCAAAGCAAATTTCCCTAAGGGCTAAATGTGCATAGAAATGGACCAACAGTCTAAGGAAAATACAGTAAATCTACTGAAATAAACTGCTTCCTAGGCTATTTGTTCATTTTCAACAAGCTGCTAGTATATTTTGCAACTCTGGAGACTGATCTGCAATTTTTACCTTCTTGCTGATACTTTCTAGGATTTCAGACAAAGCCATCCTGGTAAAACAGAAGCCACTTCTTGATATAATAAAAACATTTAGCTTCAAAGAATTGAGTTTGTAGTGCAGCTATATACAACCTCTCTCCAAACTGTCAGACCTAAAGCATCTTTCATCAAGATTTAGCCCCAGACACATTGAGTCAAGGATACAAACTCTATATGGGGAAGTCAAAACACAGAGAAGCACAATACATAAGTAAATTAAGGATAGCATAACTGCTCCCCTCTAGCTGCTGATAAATGTGAACAGTAGTATAAATTAGCTTTCACTGGAAAATGTGCACAACAGCATAAATTATTTTTCACTGGTCTGTTAGGAGATGGAACATAAAGGTGATGGCACGAATAAAATAAGGCGTATCTTTGCATTTTCTTAGACCCTAAGTCCACTATTACTGACTAGGAAACAGGCCAACTTCCCAGCTACCCTTTTGAGCAGATCAATGCTGTTCTCACTTAAGGGAAAGAACCTCACAGGCATTCCCTCTAAAACTACAATTTAAGCTGTCTCGAGTGCAAATAATGCTCCTATGCGATCTACTTAACACGAAAATAAAGTCTGACTAGAAACACTAATCTGAACTACGACTGCATACCCAAATGCTTAGCACAGCAGTTCAGTAAGAACAACTTACTTCCCTTGCAGTCCACACTTCGATAAGTAAACTCCTCCACTGATTCATCTTGAAGAGGAATTGCATTACTCGCTCCACAGGCCACCAATTCAGCGTTAAGAGCAAAACCCAACCTAGAAAAGCCGCCTTCTGCCCATCTCTCCTGTACACGGCCTTCGCACTGCATGCCCGGAGCGCGCGCAGGCGGCGGCGCGCACACGCACGCACACCCCTTCCTCAAGCAAACTGAAATAATGCAGAGTCATAGCAAAGCCCCAGTCCAGGACGAGGCAGCCACCAACTCTCCCTCATGTCCCTTCCCTCCCCGCCCCCCGGCTTTACAAATCACTGGAATCCGCTGTTCGATGTAGATAAGCTGGACGAACGGTATGACTAAAATTACAGGCCCCCCAGGGGGGGTGAGGCACATCCCCTTCCTCGCCTTGCAACAGCGACTGGAAGCCCGCAACAAGGCCTGGCGCCAAGGAAGCGAGCCACAGCTTCTCCAGCCAACTCTCACACGAGAGGCCTTGCATACGCTCCCGCCTACCGCCTCCCTTCTTCCTCGCACCGTTTCGTCCTCTCTCTTCCGTACCGCCCCCCACCCCCCGGGACTTCCACTGCTGTCCGCGCTCTCGCCCACGCTCCTCTTGCTCCCTCCGAAAAGGAGGCTCCAACTTTTCCCACCACAAGTTGTACTGCAACTGCTCCAGCAGGCCTCAGTGCGGGGCCTCGGAATAGCTTCCTTTCCTCTGCCCCCATCCCGCCGCCCCACAACCAGGCTTAGGCCCAACGGCTCGTCCCCTCGTTCCTCACGCCGCACCGTCTCCTCAGGGTCGATCTCTATCTTGAAGGTTTGCTGCTGCAGGGTCTTCAAAGTGATCTGCATGGCGGCTGCTCGGCTTTAGGCCCCGGCAAAGCCTACCCGCAGGCTGGCTCACGGAGGACGATGGGCGGCGGCGGCGGCGGCTCCCCCTGGGTCCTCCACTCGCTGCTCCGGCCTAGGTTGGCTCAGGCTACGGTGGGAGAAAGGGGGCGGAGTTGGGGGCGGAGTTAGGAGGAAGCAAATGTTCTCGCGCGCGAAGGAGGCGTTAACTGGATTCTCGCTCACGGCGGAGCAGCAACGGCCCCCATGATGATGACGACACGTCCTCGTGACTGCCCGCCACAGCCCTAGGTGAGGTGAGGAAAGGCGAGAGAGAGAGAGCTTGAAGTGCGCAGGCGCATGTGGGAGAGGAAGTGGTGCGTTTTTCAATCGCCCCTTTTTAAAAATGTGGGAGACGGACTGCGCATGAGTAAAGAAGGGTTAGCCGTAGGCGGGGCTAATAGCGGCGCTAAAAAGGGAGGGGGAAAAAGCGGCCGAGGGAAGGGTGGATGGAGAAAAGGCTGCGGAGATGGAGGATGCGGAGGAAATGGTTCTCTGAAGAAGGTAACAGGCTCCAAAGAGCCGGAGGAAGACATGGCTTCAGTTTGAGAGAAGCTGAAGTGTATTTTCTTGTAGTCTTCTGCAGAGATGATGTCCCCAAAGTGTCCCGCTGCTCTCCTCTTCTAAGTAATGCCTTCTGTGAAAGACGGGAGGAGGAAAGGAAGAAGGGTGCTTGCGTTCGTGCCAGGCATCTCTACTCTGTACCTAGTGGGATTATTGCCGTTCCCTTGCTGCCCGCAGAGGTCCTAGTCCGGAGCCGATGTGTATAACTACGATCCTATGGTTAGATGAGATTAAGGGTGCAATGCTTAGCCGAAAGCCCTGCAACAACTGGGGCATTCCGAGAGCTGTAGAATGTTTGTCTAAGTATGTCTAGCAATGTGCCCTCCGCCTCACTGGGCATTTATAGGATTGTGCTGTAGATCTATTGCTCGAAACCTATCGTTAAACTGTATATTGAAACCCTGGTTATTTTTTGCAGGTTACAGCGTGCATTCTCTCTTGCTATCCTAGAATCTGAAGGACATTCAGAAAACCCATTTATGCTCTGAAAAGATATAGGAGGGGCGTTCAACGTATTCTCGGTATCGGGTTGATTTGCTGTTGATGTGGGTAATTTAATTATTTCATTAGCTAATGACACTATCTGAGGGTATACATGCAAAATTTCAAATGAGTGTGATCATTAGTTCCCTAGTGATCCTCAGTGAAAGATGACCATAATGACTGATGCGACAATGTTGAAGAAAATCTAGCACTGCGCTGTGATTAAGTTCCTTACAAAACAAGGAAAGAGTCAAAAAATCATTCACGAAGAGATGGAGGCCGTTTGCCAGGACTCTGCACCTTCATTATCTACTGTTCAAAAGTTGTCAAGTGAATTTAAAAGGGGCAGAGAAAGCACTGAAGAGGACCCTGGCTCAGGCGGGCCGGTTACTGCCACTGCGAGAAAAAATTGTGAAAAAAATTGAGAAACTTGTATTGAAAGATGCCCGAATAAAAATCAAAATGTTAGCAGAGATGACAAACCTATCTGTTGGTACCATATTTACTATTTTTCGTTACCATCTTCTGAAAGATGGATTTTTATATCATGTGAACCAGGTCAGTATTCCATTTGGATATATCGCCATCCCCAAATTTTCTATTTCTGCATTTACGTTCCAATATAACAAGGAAGTGAATTTGTTAGCATTTGATGTAAATGTTCAATCAGTTCACGAGTTCAAGTGGGATGGTCACTGCAATTTCATACTAAGCTAAAGAATTGTCACCAACCTGTTTTTCACAAAAGACAAGCAATAGAGGGAAAACACTGGGTTGAATTAGTTTGGTCTGTATTTTCCATGGTGACTGTTGATCTATGAAAACAACCCAGTTTTCCAAAATATTCAAATAGAAGAAAGGTCATACATTTTTTTTAAAGGTCATACATTTCTTTTGTGGACTGTACAGATTTTTCAGAAAAGCATTCTTGTGTTTAAGGCTATAATCTTATATGTACTTAGGAAAAAGTACCTTTGAGATTTACAGGAAGGAAGCGAAATATATTTGCAGATAAAAAGTAGAGGTACTGTAAACTTAGCAGAGGAATTGAGATGATGAATGTTCAAAAGTAAAGTGACAAATGTATTTTGTTTATGTGAAAAGAGAAACACGTGTGCTGCTCAACATGCCATTGAGACACCACTCCATTTTTATGCAGTATGTTTACTGTTTCTTGAAAACTTGAAGGAAAATTTTCTTATGTGAATATCTGTAAAACAAGTTAATTCAATACAGGCAGGGAAATGTTTAAGATTTCACAGTGAAATGCCACTTTAGATGCATTTTATTTCAAGCAAGATAGAACCACAGATTTTATTATGTTAACTATTTCAACAGAATTCAATTCTTTTCCATTGTTGGAGCAACTTAAGTTTCACTGTCGCTAATTAGTTCCATTTTATGTAGAACCATACATGTATTTCAGTGACATGCCTCACATTCTGGCTAGAAGTAATCATCTGAAAAATGAATTAAAGTTTGAAACTGCCAACAATGCCTAATGTTGTGCAGTTGCTAAAAAATCATTTTTATGAATAAACTTGAGAAATAAGAGATTTTCTAGCTATATCATCAGTCATGGTTGAAATTGTGCCGGAACTCTCATGGAACTCAGCTGGCTCTGTTCTCAAATAAATGGAATTTGGTGTGGATACTGAAACTGGGGAAAAAGTTAGTTGCAGTAGTTAGTAATTTAAACTCTATTGTTTTGAGTGGGCAGTGCATCTTTAATCACGGTGTCCAGTTGCTAGAGAGAACAGGGCTGCTGAAGCTCTGGTACTGTTGGAGAAGTGGGATGTATAACTGGCATGATAAGCCTCTCCTGCTGAAATGAAATTCTCTTTTATACACAAGTATTAAAGGGACAGGAAATTCTCTTTTATACACAAGTATTAAAGGGACAGTTTGTTTTAATGTGCCATCAAGTCATCTCTGACTTACAGCCACCTTATAAATGTGTGTCCTCTGGAATGACTTGTCATTGGCAGCTCTGTTCAGCTTCTGTAAACTCAAGGCCGTGGCTTCCTTTATGGAACTGATCCTTCTCGTGGTTGGTCTTCATTTTCTTCTGCTTTCTCTAGCATCTCTAGTCCTATGAATCTAGCCTTCTCAGTGTCTAAAGTACAACAGCTTCCAGGATTTGATTTAATTTAGGAAACACTACTTCATCCTTCTGTTAGTTCAGGGGTTTTGCAAAGCTCTCCTCTAGCACAATGGTTTGAGAGTGTCAGAGAAGCCAACAGCAATGCCAACTGAAGGCCAGACTCTCTCACTAGTCTGGTCTCCTACCAGGGTTACCCAAGGTGTACTGGTCAAAGCTCAAATGCCAGAATAAGATGCATCCACTCACTTAAGGAGTAAAGGTGATAGGGGCAGAGAAATTCCTGAAGGACAGGTACTGCATAGCAGCTATAATTGAAGACAACACTGGCAAAGGATCTTTCAGAGACAAAGGCAGTGAAGCTCAAGCTAACTCTGGCTAGTACTGCAGAGAAGGTGGCAATGGTAAACCACTTTTTAATATTCTTGTAAACCCTATGATGAAACAGTCCAAAATGAAACCAAAGTACTGGAGCCTAGTCTTTGCATCTGGCCAGCCTAGCCAGAACTTATGCATGCTTACTCATTAGTAGATTGTGCTTGAGGTCAACAGAGCTTACTCAATTATGCACAGAATTATAGCCTTAATCCCAATGAAGAGCAGACTAAGTTTTCAGAATTCTTTATAATAATACTTCATTTTCTATTTAATTTTTCAATACATACAGGCCAGCATGCATGCCAAATTGACAAATCAGCAGCTTCATTTGGAAAGAGAGGGCAACAAGTTCCAGATGGTAGCACTGCAAGCCACACATCACAAAGAGCCTTAACAGCACTTAAAGAACTAAGAATTCTGATACATGTTTCTATAGATTATAGTCAACTTCAAATGTAGATAATAGATTGACCTTTTTCTGGTGAGGGGAAGGGGCTGTCCTGGTTTTGTTTACATTAACTTTTGATGCATATACAATTTTTTTGTTGTTAGTCGCGAAGTCGTGTCCAACCCATTGTGACCCCATGGACAACATTCCTCCAGGCTTCCTGTCCTCCACCATCCCTCAGAGTCCACTAAGCTCATACCAACTGCTTCAGTGACTCCATCTAGCCACCTCATTCTCTGCCGTCCCCTTCTTCTTTTGCCATCTATTGCTCCCAGCATTAGGCTTTTCTCCAGGGAATTCTTCCTTCTCATTACATGGCCAAAGTATTTGAGTTCATCTCAGTATCTAGCCTTCTAAAGAGCAGTCAGGGTTGATCTCTAGGACTGACCGGT